GGCTTTTAAATGTCCCCAATGTGGCTGTCACTGACTGACTTTTGACTGTCCGGTTTTCGTTTTCAGCTTGGCTTTATTTTCTTTTTCTATACTATATATGTGTGCAGTATACTTGTTGTTGTTGTTGTTTTTTTTTTTTTGAGTCCGTCGGATTTGGGGCACGCCCCCCTCGTGTACTTAGCAGTGTAGAAGAGGAGAAGTACGGCAGGAGAGCAACAGGCGGAGATTCGGAGCTAGAACTGGACTTACTTTTCTACCCCGCCCTCGGCGTGTGTGCCATGTCATATGAAAGCCACAAGGTTGTATGCCAGTCGACAGTCGCCATGACATTTCAAATTTACGGGCTATGACAAAGTGAGTTAAATGCATTTTGAGAAGTACTCTCGGCCCAGGCAAACACACACACAGCTAAAGAACTGAAAAGAAAATCCCTAACAAAAACCAAAAAAAATGTGTGAGGGGCCAAGAGCAGCTGCAACTGCATCTGGAGAGGCAATCTGCCCTTTTGATGTTACCGCAGACCCAACTTTATATATATATATATATATATTTAAAGATCATGTACTTACTAAAATTACAACGCACACACACTAACACCCTGCACACACACACACACACCCATACAGCAGCAAGTGTTTATGCACTTCGATTGCATGTCTTTGGGCCCGATGTGGCTCCAATAACCGACTTTCTACCCTCCGACTTTCTCGGCTCTGCTGCTGCTGTTGCTGCTGTTGTTGTTGTTATTTGCAAAAGTTATTCATACGCCACGTTGACAATAGTAGAAAATGCAATTTATGTTGGAAAAACATTGCGTAAGTGCATCTGAGGCGAAATTCAAGTAGCTGCTGCCAGCACCCTCACTCTCGAAGGAAAGAAGACAACGGCAGACATAGCAGCAAGCAGGGGTGGGGTTTTCAAGGGGGATTTTATGGCACAAATCTATTGCTTCATAGTTAATGTTTCTATCAAGTAAAAATATATTTTTGAAAAGAAAGGACAACTTTTTGTAGCTAAATCTAATGTTTTACAAAATCTAAAAATATATTAAAAGTATCTCAGAGCCCGCTTCTAACACCCTTCTTGATAAAAAACTGCCGACACCCCTGCCATTAGACACATGCACATGTTGAGGCTCGGGCTCAGGCTCAGGCGGTGGCAGGCAGTCATGTAAAAGCGTTGCCATATAAAACATCTAGAAATTCCCATAAAATTTTCATGCAATTTTCCTCGCACCGCTTTCACATGCAGAGTGAGCTGTTCCGCCCCCTCGATTTTCCCCTCTCTCTCCTTTACTTGGTCTTTTCCTTTTTGGACAACTCATGGCTTATGCCGCCCCCTTTACCCTTAACTATCTCAACCAGAGTATGTAGATGTGGGTGTGTGTGTGTGTGTGGTTGTGGCAAATGCATATCTAAGACACTCAATAAGTAAAATAAACAATGCCAAGAAAGTGCCAAAATCAATTGGCTTTCTAAATGTCAGGCAATGTGGAAGAGCACTCATCTCGAAGATGGACCTATACCATGGACAACATGGACATCAACTGGGCCAAGGACATAAACAAATAGAGAACACTTTTGGTGTAAACAACAAATTAATTGTGGCTCACCTAACCTTTGGCCCCCAAATCGATGTACAAACTCAGAGTCCTTTGAAATTTCCGAATAAAGTTTATGCAGATTGATGGCACAACGAATAAATTTTAATTTTGCTACAAATACATTTTAATTTATTCCCCTATTTCGGTGTGTGTGTGTATTTTTTTTTTGGTTTATCAAATATAGAGTAAAATTTAACCTTTTGATGTTTTGCTGGCAAATTAAGATTTTGGGTATAAAGTTGATTGAGGCGACTGCCTCTCCCTATATATATATATATTTATGTTTTTTTTTTTTCGTATTGATGGGCGTTGGGCAATGGTGGTCAGGCCAATTTAGCAACGCTTAGCCACAGGACACATGGGGTGAGTTGGACAAATTTCATTGGACGTGGCGAAAAATTTCATTTAAAATATATTTTGCACACATCAGAAGTGCGGCAGGCTGCAAGTGTAATTTATGCGTCTTCACACACTCGCAAACGCAAACGCAAACGCCCAGTGAAAATGTGTAATGTTGACCCGATGCCAGGGATGTCCTGGCTGCTAGAGCTGCTGGATGTCCTGCCAGCCATGGCTCGACGCTTTTCATTTTTCTGTTTTTGGGGGCTAAAATACCAAATTACGACATAAATAATGCATAGATAACGAAATTTATTACATTTCATGTATCAGGCCGGCTGGCAGACAGTCGGGCGAAAGTCCTGGTACTGGTACTGATGCTAGTCCTTGTTCGTGGAACATGACTCTGGGCTTGGGTTTGAGTTTTGGGCCATGTCCGGCTTTCGGGTCAGCAAAAGTTTCACATCAACCGGTCCACAGTTCTGGCAATGTTTGAACGGGCAACACTGTCGCCTTTCTTAATTTATGGCTCGTGTTAGTTTCTCTGATTTGCCAGGCAAAAGTTTATCGAAGCATTATATCGCTCCTGCAACTTGCAATTTAAAAATGTAATTGTTACAAGGATTAATCGACAGGACCCTCAACTATCCTCCCCCCAACAATACAATGCAAATTTATATATTCAAATTTCAATCAAATTACTCTCGAAGCTGGAGTTTTTTTCAACCGCTTGTTTATGCTAGGAAAATTAAGTTAACTGAAAAGTGCGCCAAACCAAAAAAAATGCAAAAAGTTTTTGCGGTTTTTTGTGCTTGGCAGGCAACGTCGCTCCAGCTTCAGTTTATGCCAGATAGGAGATCCTGGTTCCCAGATCCCGGGATCCAACATCCGCGTCAGCTTCACTTGACGGCTATGCGGATGCGGATGTCTTGCTCATATCGCAGCCAGTTGCTTATAATTGCATTTGCATATTATTTCCCTTTTATTGCACATGTCGCCCGGCTTGACATGCCATCACTTGGGGGGTAAAACCAGCGGAAACCCTTAAACCATTTATTTTTTGCACCCTTCTCTTTCGCTTATATTTTGTTTTTTTAATATTTTTATTCTGGCAGCTTCTCCTTTTGCTTGGACTGCCATTTTTATTTCAGTGAAATGTTTATAAAATGGCGGCACGCTTCCGGCGGAGCAGCAGCAACAAACAGGAAAAGGAGGGCATCGCCAAAAGAGTTAAAAGTTAAGCGTCTCTGGTGAGGAGAAAAAAAAAATTATACCGAAATAATTTGCATATAAATTATGATTGAAAGCGTTTGGGGCCAAAAGGTGTCAAGCGCGTTGACTGAAGCCCCACGGAAGCGGTCTTAACGCTTCCCCGATCCCAATAAATAGTGATAGCTGCCCATGTTGAGGTTAGTGAACTGGTGACTGCTCTGTGGGAAAAGCAATAAATATCTTGACTACTTCCTGGCCAGAAATCGCTAGCTTCGGGGGTGTGGTAATGACACGGCAACAGTTACTCACTTAGAAAAACAGTTTTCAGAAGTTTAGAAATCTTTAACAACAATATATTTAAGATATCTTAAGTTATACAGATAACCCAAACGAAGTACTAACAATTTTCTTAAAGTGCCACCGTTAAAAGTGCCGCCGCAATATCCTGCACACTTGTCAGCGGCACAGCATCCCGTTTCATCGGTAATCCCCGTCCGCAGGTAAACAATGCTAATGCATATGCCTTGGCTCGGCACTTTTGGATGGGTTACGTTGGATTGAATTGAATCCGAGGCAAGGCGAGGGGAGCTGCACTTCCGGCACGCATGAGATGGCGGTCTTACGTCACAGATCGTCAGCGTCAAGGAGAGTCAGAGATTTCGTTGGGATGGGTGGAAGGGGTGTATAAATGGTGCACGTGTTTCCCTTTTTTGGGGGCTCCCAAATCAAATCTGAAATGAATTTACCTTTGTTGATTTGCGACGGCTTTTGCATTTTGGCTTATTACATACAGCCGAACAAAAACAAACTGAAGGAGGAGGAGGAGACTAACGTGGCTTGTTGATTTGCTGGCAAACCCCTTGCGATTGCTCGCTTGGATTTCGAAATGAGCTCAAGACAAATGTAAATATTTTTTAGAGCTCACTGGGAAAAGGACGAGTTGGCCCGAGTTGAGAAGGATGCCATTGGGTTGGGTCTTATGATGGATGATTGTGTGCTTCCTGTAGATTTGTAGCCACCGATAAACTCAATTTGTTTGCTCTTAAGTGCGGGAGGAGTAAAGAAGGATAAAAACAAGAGGACGAGGCGTGCTCACAGGATCTCACATTACGCATACGCCGTGTTGTGACTCCCGATTTGCCATCCCACGAAGACGATGCTGATTGTCAAAGTTTTTTTTAAAGCCGATACTTACGCTAGTGTGGCTCTCAACTTGTCGTGAGGAGTTTATTTTCAATTTGATGAGAACTTGGCTTTTTTGTCGCCCATTTGCGCTTTTCATGTCTTTTCTATTGCGATTGTTGGATGTGTGGGCTATGCCAGTACTTCCTTTAGTTTTATTAAGACAGCTGCCTTTACGACCCGCACCACAACTTATGCTCGCTCTTTCAGTGGCAATGAGCCATATACTTTTTACTTATTTCTCAATTATTGTTTATGTTTTCCCAGCCTTTTCTTTTACTATTCCTCCACCCATTCGGAATTCGAAATGTGCGCAGCCAAGAGAGGAGAATTTAATTGCTTTATTCGAAGTGGAACCTGAACTGTGCGCACGGAAAATTATTAAATGCTATTTATCACTCAGGCGACAACGGAAATGTGTCTCTGACACTTACAAGAAGAAGAAGAGGGAAAAGAGGAAGAAGAAGAAGGCATGTGCAGCTGGTAAGGAAATTGGCAGCATCTGGGAAAAAAATTGCACTTGAGGAAATTAAAAGTTGCATTTGAATGCCACGCACGAGCGTAAAAACTAATATCCGCCCTTTAGCATATTGTTTTGATGAAAGAAATGATTTCCCTTGGACTCAGAATGGGTAGCTGTGGATATCAAAATAATAAAAATAAATTGTTATAATTTTTAAATTCATAAAATTTATTTACATGCAGCTTAAAAACAAAAAAGAAAAATATATTTTAAACGATTAAAAGTACAATCTACGCTTTATCCTTAAAGTATGCCACAACATTGTGAGTGCAGTCGCAGATACTGCCAGAAACTAGGCAAAGATACTCAACTAGCTACATTATCGCAATGTTAAAATTCATGTAAGATATGTATAAACCACACAAGATCGGGTTTAGTGCCGTAAGTTCCTAAACATATAACACAAACAACGCAGCTATGGCGGCCAAAAAGGACAGAAACGTCGAGAGATAGAGCACGGCACATGTGGTCTCCATCCAGGATACAAGCGGACCCACGGAAAGAGATACAATCAACTGGGCAATGAACACCATACTGCTGATAATGGCCACATCCGTGCCCAGGCCACGGGCCTGTTTCAGGGGCACAGTCTCGCCATTCTTAATGCAGAACTGAAATATTTTCGTAATTAATAAATATTTGTAACTTAACAAGTTAGTTTAATTTTACTTACACAATTTTTGGCATGATATCTGGCCACCAATATGAAAGGCACAGTGAAGATTGTTCCATAGAGAATACCGGCAGACGTGCTGAACACCAAGACTCCCCATTTAGTGGGCCACAGGCCAAGGACCAGCATTCCAATGCCATAGTATATCATTCCGCTAATGTAGACAGCCTTGGTTCTATATTTGGATGAATAAATAGGTATGGTTAGGATTATTATTCAGAAAGTACGTGCTATTTGGAAAATATAAAGTTAATTCGAGTACAAAATTTTAGCCAAAAAAATAGATATTCTATATTTGAACTCATCAAAGGAAAAGTCGAAATATGGAAGGTAAATTGGCTTTAATATTGCCCAAAACTTTGAAATTTATTAACAATTTTTGAAATTTTTGTGAAGAAAAATATATAATTATTTTAACTTTTAACGATTTTTTTTAAATTTAAATTTCAACGTAAAACGACCAAATTTAAGTCTTAACAGAAAGTTAACATAATGTTAGTCAATTTGAGTATTAACAGACAATTTGAATGTTAACGGCTATGTAAATATGAATTTCTATGTTAACGACCTTGTTATGTTAACTTAATGTTAACTGCAATTTTTTGCACTCGAGGGCCCCAATAATTCCCAACAGCTTCTAGCTGATAAGTAGTGAGGTTGGCTCTGCCGGTCGGCAATAAATCAGTCAAGTCATTTCATGGTGTGTGTGTTTGTGATAGTAAAGTGCCTCCAAGTGGTCCATTGGTACTCACCATTACATTGGTGGTATATGGACATGTCCTCCATAGTGGATGCAGTGCATCATGGATTTTTTCGGAAATCCATATTTTGGACGTTTGATGATGGATACATATGACGAAGCATAATTTACCATAAATTGACTACGGCAAGCCGGAAATCAAGGTAAGTGACTAGTTTTATTATTTTTATTGCATAAGTTGAGGGGTATATTTGCCCTCTGATCCGCAGTGATTGCAACGGCTTGCAAGCCACCAATGCAATGTGGAATATTCAGAAATAAGTTAAGTTAAGTCGGCCTAGCTGTGTCAGCCCTGGTAACCAGGTACTGCCACTGGAAATTTATGGAGCACCCACATGTAGATTAATCGCTTACTAGGAAATGGTTTGTCTTCTCTACATTTCTGCGCTGGAATCCGAAACATTCAACGTTGGTCATCGAGTATCAATAGATTTTGATTAATTCTGTCTCTTGTAAACTTGTAACTTTCTTTTTGCAATATTTCATCTAATACATCATTTGTAACTATCAATATTAGAGTTCTGTATTTGTTTCTGTATTAGTTTCTGTATTTTGAGCTTCTGTATTTTGCTCATAACATATTTCCCTTCATATGACTTTCATAAATAAATATTAGTTTAAAAACTTACCCAAACCACTTCATCAGCTTTGTCACGGACAAGGAGTAAACAGAGCAGGAAAATGCATATATAGACATTCCCCAACAGCCAAACCGAACTCCAGCTTCATAGTTTAGAGCAGCTTCCGAGTTCGGAGCAGCTGTAGGATCGCCGTGGAACACAGCCTCGCCCACAAAGTCCGTGAAGTACAGGCAGTAGGTGACGTGTCCCATCCAGCAGAAGAGATTGGTGAGGGCCAGAATGCGCATCGAATAAGGCATGATGAAGATGCTCTTGAGATAGGATTTTAGGGAGACAGGAGCCTCGTAATCCGACTGGGTTTCCACATCCTGGGACTTACTTTGCTTTTCCAAAGCTGGCGAATAACCATTCTGGTAGCTGCCCTGCAATGCCTCCACTCTCTTCGGATCATCACTAGCCATTTGTAGCTCCAATTGTGTGGTCTCCTGGATATAGTAAATGGTATTATTCTTCTTCTTAAGTTCCTTCTTGATTGCCTGTTCGGAAAGGGGTCTCAACAGCTCATCCTGCTCGATCAAAGTCAATGGAATCTCCCGGAATGTGGTCACCGTGATCAGATAGCACACCGCAAATATAATGGTCACCAGGGTAAATACGGTGGGTATATTTCCTCCCATAAAACTGCCAATGTGCGTCGTCTCCCAATTCACTCCACCAATAGCATATCCAATAGTTCCTCCGAATCCCGCAAAGAGGGCAAACATGGTCATAGCCTTTGGCTGCTCCTCGGGCACACACATATCTAGCAGATAGGTGCGAGCAGGTGTCTGACAAGTATCCGCATCAAAATCCAATAGCACCATTCCGAGAATCGTAAGAATCACTGCGAACTTAAAATCTGAAGCCGATGGTCCTGAGCTGCTTTCACCGGAAACTAAAGCAGCCACTGATCCTGCCGAGGAAGCGGTAAAATTCAAAGCTGGCTCTGCGTAGGTATATCCTGTATCGCCAAGAAGGAGTCCCAGATCTTTGCCATAAGGCACCAGGATTAAGCCACACATTATGCCAAAGGATAAAATCGTAATAATTGGACGCCGGCGACCCCAACGAAGTTTGCAGCGATCACTTATACTTCCAAGCAGTGGGGATAAAAAGAATCCAATCAGAGGCGACAGTCCCCAGGTCATGGACATGTGTTTATGATCCACGCCGATCTGTAGGAGGATCGGAGATACAAAGCTCGTTTCCGCCGCGTAGGCAAACTCAATGGCCATGGCAATGGCGGATAAACGGAACATCTCGAAACGCGTCTTTCGTCGAAAGACATGCGAGTAGTCCTGATCCTGTTCCCGGGCATGATTCTCGCGGGTCTTCAGCATGTACTTGATCATCGGGTTCTTGGCCGAGGACAGCTGATTCGCCTGCGAGGCGTCGGCAGTAACTCCAACCATTTTGATAGGGATTTACAGATACTGCGGGGAAGGAAATTATAATTAGAGAAGGAAATATGTATAAAGGATAAATTATTATGCTAATTTAAAAATACGAAAATCTTTGAGAACATTGAGGGTCCGAATCTTAAGATGTTGCCGATCTGTGAAAAAATTTCTATTGCCGGGGTGCAGCTTTCAAAGCCTATTAAGTCACATCTGGGCTTAAGTTCCCTATCACAATCTTTAATTGCCAAACAGCAATCGTGCCATTTTCTCATCACACCCATAGCCCAGAGACATTGAACCGATTAAACTAGAAACATCTGGACGGGCACGTCGAAGAAGCGTTAAAGATCTCTGATTAATTGGGCTGCGCGGTCACAGTGCAGTGACGAAATATAAATATGAAAATGAATTTCAATTTCAATTCAATTGCACTGAGTCTTGCAATTTGTGTCACTGCCTATAGAGAACGAACCCTGAACGGCTGCCATTTGTTTACAAACAAATTCAATCACGGCGAAAGACAAACGAGAGTGAATTGCCAGTCGAAGGCTTATCTGTGTAGCGAAGACGAAATCGCAAACCCAAAATGGGTTCACAAACCTACTCTAGTAATCGGAATTCATAAATCACAAGGAGTTTCTGTTTTTTGTTATGAGAGCTTTGGTTGCAATTAAAATCAATACTATATTAGTTAATGTCAATCATTTGTTAATGAAGATGCTTCAGCAATGTCAATAAGCTGACTCAAAAGGTGACATACTTAATAATTCATCTTCTCTGAAAACTTACTTTGTTTCTTAGATTTCTAATATCACTTTTTATATTTCAACTACTTAATAAGCCTGCCTCGTATTTAGCTAATATCACACTTTACAAAATATTTAAACACTAGTCTTCGGTTTGCTCAATTTCTCTTTTGCTTGAACTTGACAATCAGCCACATTTTCGAATTATTGCAAGCGAACACTGTTACGACTTGATGGATCAGCGGTTTTATATTGGGTTCAATTGTATCTTTGCGGTCGATCTTTAGACGGTTTACGAGGCGGCACCAAAAAACTTTCCTACAACCAAAACGTCGCGTGTCCAAATAGCAACTGAGTCTGGGTCTCCGAATCCAAATCATCGAGTCTCCGTCTTTCTCTATCGTCGCCGCTGAGCGCTGTCTTTTCAGCCATTGACCAAAACTAATCTGCTACATACGTGTGTCCACTAACAACAAGAAGAATAATAAAAAAAAAGTAATAATAACAGCTTCGAATAAATTTAAAATACAAAACATCTAATTTGTACGCCGGCAGCTCGAGTGTCATTCACATTGTCGCATATATCCGTGGTAATTGAGACAAGTTGCAGGTCATGTGGGTGTGTGTAGGTGCCACTCTCTTTCTCCTGGAATCTCAAATGGCGTTTATTTTGCCACGGGTTAGATGACCAACGGATTATTTCTTTGCTTTTGAATATGTATATATAATATATATTCTGCGAAAAATCAACGGCGGTTCGTGATTAAATCGCCACAGACTAGGTCAATAAATGTTTAAATAAACAAAAAGCAACAAAAAAAAAAGAAACAGCCAAGATGAGCTTTGGAAATTAATTAAGTCGCCGCTGGCATTAATTGCCTGTTACGATTAGGAAGTCAGCTGATAAGCATTCCGCCGTTGACAACTCTTCGAGGGGTGATTCGGGTGAATCATTTGTCAAAAAGGGGTTAAGGTCAATTCCGGGCATTTGAGGAAATAATTTACATTCTGCTATCCGTAAAGAAAATATCACAATGCTAAATTCACACGTCTTCGGCTTAAATAATCTGATACATTCCATTGTTGCTGTTTTTCGTTGCTGGCTGGCTATATGGTGATTAAACCGTTTTGTAATTAACATGATTATTAAACTGACGCTGCTTAAAATGCATATTACTTTATTGTGGGGGTGTGAACAGGCCTCTTATATACCGATATATTGTGAGATTTAACATATAGGCAGTTTATTTAACCGCCAATTGAGGCGTAATTGATCTTCTTATTGTGCGCAGGCATGAACCGTGTTATTAGTTTATTATGGCTACCTTAATTATGAGAGAAAACTGCACAGCAGATGCGTTTTATTGAGCAATCAATATCAGGGAACAAAGAAAGTCTTTTAATTTTATATTTAATTAAGAGTTATTTAATAGGTTCTAAGTTAGACATGTTAACGAAGATTCATTTTGTAACTAATAACTTATAACTCATTTAATTTATTTTTAAAGCGGGAATTTATACTTCCTTTAGTTAACTTACAACTTTTCAAGGCTAGTTAAGTCAAGGGCCTTAAAGTCAGGGAAATTCAAGATTAGTAAATGCTTTCTTAACAGCCTAAACTTACCTAGTTTGTAGTTAATCCTTGATCTGCTGACAGCCCACGCTCCCTCACAATAGTTTTCTACTCAAACTTCTATTTCCTGTATTTTTTTTTGTAAATATTTTTTATGTTGTGTTGTTCTTTTTTTTAAGAATTTATGTTGATTAAAATTTTAACGATCACTGTCACTGGCTTGCGATTGGTTACGCTAATTCACTCACTGGCGGGGTTACGTTTTAGTGTCAATAAATTATACTCCGTTAAAGTTTTTCTCTTGCACAAATTGTTGAACATAAAATATATTTCAGTTTTCTTCAATTTCAATTGTTTTTCCTGTTGTTGCTTGGAGCGAACGTGGGCGTGGCAGTTGTGGGCGGGCGGCGGTAACGAATTCACTCTCATAACTTTACCCATGCAGTTGGTGCTAGCAAAAGGCTAACGAAATCAATTTTTGTTTTTTATTTTTTAGTTTTTGTTTGTTTCCGCTGCGGAAAGTTGTTCCGCACTCTACTCTATCTATCGAATCACTTGCACTCCGGCGAGTTATTAATTTTTAGGATATATATATATATCTTTTTTTTTTTACTATATCTAGTCGATGCCCGGATGGATTTGTTTTTGGGTTTCTTGTTAAACTGCTGACATAGCCGCTTGTCGAACGCGACGGCAGCTGTTTACTCCGTTGGCCTGAACGCTGCGAAGATTTTGGCAAGACATGAAAGAAGTGTTGGCCTGACAATTTCCCGGCAAACTACGCAGTTCCGAATCTTGTCCCTCGAATCGATACGTTTACGCAGAAAATGGAAAATTTATGTTCTATTTTTTGCAGAATTTTCTTTCTTTTTTTTATGTTTTTTTTTATTTTCTATGCGGCTTCGATGACTTTGGTTTATTTTTGGACTTCTGAATGCCTTGGGACGACTGCTCGAGATGATCTTGGTCTGCTCTGGTTCGCTCTGCGACTGATTCGTGGGCCTCTGGACGCACCAATTTATACAGCATATGTGACGGCAGTTTCCCATGTATCCACAGCTCTCTCTCTCTCGCATCCCAAAATTACTCTCTCACGTCTCTATGTTCCCTCTCCGATCGAGCGCTTATCGGGTCCGGTCGGGCCTTTCCTTTCTTTGTCTTAGGAGCACTGGACGGACACGCAGAGAAAAAAGATAATTCCTATTTTTATTTCAGACTATCAAAAACTCCAAACAAAAGTTCATATATTTTTGCTGAGATTTATTTGGTTGTTGTTTCTTATCTGGTTTATAGGAGATTTTTTTGGATTATTTTTTATTTAACAAACTCTTTCTAATCTGTCTTATAAAAATAAATACTTGTTATATATCGTCATGATTTTTTCAACTAGATTATTTTCTTCAACATACTCTCATATTTTTCTTTAAGTACACATTCTTCTTCTAGTACCTATAAAATTATTTTATGAGTCATATAAATAATTCATTTAAAATCATAAAATGTAATAAACCATTTACTAATTTTATGCATTTTTTTCTCTGCACTGAAATCTTGTAATAAATATTGATGTTGATATTAGATGTTATTTCTTCGCCTCGCCTCAGCTCATTCGCAATGCATTTTATCTGACGACATAGCAATCTGTCTGTAATTATGTTAATTATTAATTAGCATTAGCACAGTTCCTGGTTCTTAGACAAATCGTTGGCCCTGCCAACTGCTGCTTGCAGATTCTTTTGCACCTGAGAGAGCTGGGCACTTGGTGGAGTGGCTGAATGCTCACCTGAATTTCAGGCCACAGGCCACAGGGAACAGTGAACAGCGAACACACATGAAACTAGTTTCACAGGCGACGACAGGTTTAAAAGCATAGGCATTCATGGATGTAGTAATGTGCACAGTGATTCTGTAGTGATTTTCCGAGGGTGGAAAGTAATCCTAGATTACACTGATCGCATATGTTGGGAAATTCCACTTGATTTTGAGTGTTTATTCTTGAGTTTATGTACTTAGCTCTTAACGTTATCAAACATGGGGTGCGGCGGCATATGGTTATCAAATCTCAGCAGTCTGAAACACTCAAAAGAGTGAATTAGTCGTAGTACTATAAATAATTGTCAATAATATATTAATAACCCAGTTATAGCTCACACGAGTCTAGCATTGAATTTGCGTTCTAACACAGATTAGGTCTATAATTTCCCTCAAGGTGGGAGCATTGTCCAGTAGTCAGTTAATTGCAAAATAGATCATTGTTATAAAGTACTAGGAAGAAACATTCCGAAGTAGTAACACCTTCAGTAACCAACCTTAGATTTGTTAATATTTAAACTGGCATTTAGAATCTATTAGCCGATGGAATGGTACAAGTTTTCGTTGACTTTGGTGTATCTTGTTGCCAGACAACCAACATATATTCCAAGTCAAATTATACATTTAGATGCCTTGAAATATCAGCAATATCAGACACATATAGTCTACAGCAGATATAAAACTGTGTTTGTCTTTGTTTTGACTACTGTTTATGACAAACTTTCCATCTCGTTTCGGCCTCATCAAGATGCTAAAATATTCCCCCAAGAATGACAGACAACTTCTCATTCGGCTTAAAGTGCCAGCTGGATTGCTCAAATTCAGATACAGATGCTCATATTTCGAGGGTTGTGTTTGCATTAACTTGCTATATGCCTAATGGCTCGTTGACGTAAACTATTAGCGGAAATCCGCGACTTTTGCCAAGAGACAACATCTCCAATTGAAGCGTGTGTGTGGCATTAAATAAATCGAATGCAAATTATGTAAAAAAAAAAAAAGTGGTTAAGCCTAGTCGGGCGGTTAGTTTATCAAAGCCACTGATTGGTGTCACCGCGGTTTTGGGTCATTGACTTACCTAACTCCTACTCTCATTAGGTGCACGCAGAAAAAATATACCCATCCAAGATATATTCTTTGGGTAAACAATTTTATCAGCCAGACACAAAATTTGTTTGTTTTTTACTATTTTTGGGTTAGCACAGAGAAGTCTGAAGTGATTTTGTTATCAGTTTTTAAGGTGTCTTACAACAAATCTCATACTACTTCAAATTTATTTGTTTTTTACTATTTTGGGGTAGCTCAAAAGTCGACATGATTTATCAGTTTATAAGGTGTCTTACAGCAAATATTACAAAAATAAATAAGACTTAAAAACCTCTTTTATTTAAAGAGAGTTTGAATGTCTGGCCAAGATATTGATTTAACCCTATCCCTTATATTTTATTGATATGTTAATAAAGTCATATTCATGATGATTAAAAGCTAAAAAGCTCTTGTTATATGAAAAATATCAGCCATATACTCGTAAAGTTTTATGGGCGCAATATTTTGGAAAAACTCACTGCTTCCACTTGTTATAGACGCTGCAGAAAGTCATGCCAAATTGATAGCGTTAAGACCGTCATTGTTTTGCAAGGTTATCATTGCGACTGGATCTTCGATAAGACCTAGAAAAACTTCTCGTTCGTTCTCTTATCTTCATAAATCTTATTGTTTTGCTAATATTTAAACTAAGAAAAGTACACAGCAACGGATGCGCATAAATAAAGAGTTAAAAGCATTTGATAAGCTTTGTCTATGAGGGAGTTAATAAATTAATTGGGTTAATATTATTTCTAAGCTTTTTAAACAGTTGAAATCAGTTAGTTAGCCTTCGCAAAGATGAGTGCTATATATTTAACAACCACTTTCATAGCAATCACCTTTTTAGCTGTTAACTTGCAAAGTACTGAAGTGCCCAAAAGAAGGCAAGAAACATGAAAAAGTTTATTGATCTCGGTTTTTGTTTTAAAATTAAATATTACCCTTAAAGTTTTTAGAAAAATATATAAGTGAGCAAACAAAAATATATAAAAAGTGAAATTTCTTTTTTTTTTATGAATGCATTTTGCAAAATATGACAGAAATTTCAATTTATTGCTTGTAAAGAAGATCAAGACTGCCTAAAAGAAGACACCACTTTTTAATACTTTTAAAAATACAACAAAAATATTTAATCAGAGTTAAAGGGTAAATGAAAAAAGCATAAATTACATTAAAAGATTAATAAATTATTAACAAAAGTTCAAATTCAAAAAAAAAACCTTAAATTATCATTAATTTACAAGACGACCAATAAATTGTTTACTTTTAAACCAATTATATATAAATTGACAGACATATTAATAGGCCGCCCTTGAACCTTTCTTGTAGGAACATTTTCAATAATTAATATCCCAATAAAAGTTCCCTTTAGAACAAACATTGCCAAAATTGAATTTAAATCAAGCACTCAGAACGCACAAATCAAAGAATCGCGACCGCCCAAATCCGCTTCAGACTTCAATCAGCTAAATTGACCGGCTGATTGAAGACCCTCCAATAATAAGTCTCTCTTGAGCGAAACCCAAGTTTTGAGTGAGGAGGCTCTATAAAAGGCGGACCCGGCTCTCCGATTTACTTCAGAAGCTCGGGTCCAAGGAAAGGCAACAGACAGCCGAATAGAAAGGGAATAAACAAACCTAGATAAACAAGACTCCAAAGGGAAATGTTGATGGAACGGTTCTCGATCGGCGGTGTTGGTTTTTTGTGATTTTATTTCGCGCAAACAGTGAAAAGAGCATAAAAAAGTTTAGTAAAACTTGATTGTTTGATTTTAAAGTGTTTGTTTAAGTTTTCGTTTTTAGTATTTCACTTTCTTTTACGAGTTTACAAAAGTGTTTTTGTGTCCATGGTGCCGATTGATAACATTCTGCAAAATCACGTCTTCCTCATCCAAGTCAAGAGATATTTAAAAGGTATGTCTTAATGTGTAATGTATATACGAAAATGATTAAAAGGTTAGTGCCTTGGCAAACAATTGGCCCCTTCAATTGCCATTGGATAAATATTAATATACGGTTTGCTGAAATCTTAATATGTGATTGCATCAGCTAGAAAACAGAGCGAAGTACAGAGGAACTTTGCCAACTTCAATTCCGAGCAATTGAAGTCTTGCACTTTAGCTTAATGGTTGGTATATATAAATGTTAGACATTGATATCAAGTGTCTCTATAAAAGCTATATAAATAAACGTTTTATATTTGTTGCTTATTCTCTTTAGCGATTTTCCACTGTATATGTACGCGGCTCGTGCCGCAGTCCTGCAATTCAGCGTTTTAGATAGCAAAAATTTGATGCGCTCGAGGCGCCAATTTAAACCCGAATCCGTCTGGGAATGTTTGCCTGGCACTCGTCTCTAATTTGTTGATATAATATCTATCTTATTTCTAGCAACGCATTACGATGAAAGATTTGAAAACGGAGATCCCATCGAGTGTCGTCAGTCCACCGAAACTGGAGACCAGCAGGGTAAGTGCAGCCAAAGAAGATCTCTTATGTTCCTTCCAGCAATTGTAATTCATTTGAGAAAATCATTCAAAGAAAAACTTCGTTGAATTCCAGCTAATAGCTGATCTAACTGGTTAATACAAGACTTTTATTCAATGAAATGAAAGCTGTTGTTTATTTATATAAGCATTCGTGTTGATATTATTTACTTTTCATTGACTTTTTCCAGTGTGGCAGCAGTGGCGAGGCGCTGCTAAAGCCATCCTTGCTGCCCATGGCATTGGAATCGTCTGAGTTAGTCCCGGATCAGAAGGCTCGCGACAACTGGGGCAGCTCGCTGGAGTTTCTAATGTCCTGCATCGCTCTGAGCGTGGGATTAGGCAACGTGTGGCGGTTCCCATTCACAGCACTGGAAAACGGAGGAGGTGCCTTCCTAATTCCCTACCTTATCGTTCTGTTTTTGGTGGGAAAACCAATTTACTACATGGAGATGCTGCTGGGTCAGTTCTCTAGTCGTGGAATTGTTCAGGTCTTTGACTTTGCGCCCCTCATGAGAGGTAAGATTATACATTAAAACTTTAAACTTAATAACTTATTTATATTTACAAATTTCCATAGGAGTTGGGTATTCACAACTTTTGGCTCTTGGCGTTTTGGCTACCTACTATGCCTCTGTTATGGCCCTAACCCTCCGATACTTTTTCGATTCCTTCGCATCGGAGTTGCCCTGGAGCTTCTGTCGTCCGGAGTGGGGTGACGGTTGCGTAAGTGCATCTGTAGGTGAGCCTCTTCAGGGTCAGCTTTCGCAGAACTTCAGCTCCTCCACTCAACTCTACCTGCAACGCATCGTGCTGAATGAAACGGAATCGCTTGATCAGGGTATAGGTTATCCCAGTGGTAGTTTGACCTTGATGCTGGGAATTTCCTGGCTTACAGTAACGTTAATCATCATCCGGGGTGTGAAGAGTTCGGGAAAAGCAGCTTATGTCCTTGCCCTTTTTCCTTACGTTGTAATGTTTATCCTGCTCGTGAGAGCTCTCACCTTACCAGGAGCGTACGAGGGTGTAATGTACTTCTTGACTCCCCAGTGGGGTAAGCTCTTGGAGCCGGAGGTTTGGTACAATGCCGTGACCCAGGTGTTCTTCTCCCTGGCCGTTTGTTTCGGTGTGATCGTCATGTACTCCTCCTACAATCGATTCGGGCATAATGTTTACAGAGATGCTAATATCGTTACCACTTTGGATACGTTCACATCGTTGCTCTCGGGTGTGATTATCTTCGGAATCCTGGGCAACCTGGCCCACGAATCGGGCACCAAGGATATTGCCAGTGTGGTTAAGGGAGGTCCCGGTTTGGCCTTCATTTCCTATCCCGATGCCATTGCCAAGTTCAAGATGTTACCGCAGGTCTTTTCGCTGCTTTTCTTTGCCATGCTTTTCATGTTGGGAGTTGGCAGTAATGTGGGCATGGTCAGCTGCATTATGACCGTGTTAAAGGATCAGTTTGTGAATGTGAAGTTGTGGATCATCGTGGTCAGCCTTTCGGTAATTGGATTTCTTGTTGGCCTGATTTACATCACTCCTGGAGGGCAACATATCATCACGCTGATGGACTTTCATGGGGTTACCTTTGTCTCCTTGGTATCGGCTATCTTTGAGCTGATTGCCGTGGGTTGGATCTATGGTAAGTTATTATTAAGTAATATATTTTTACTATTATGTTCATTAAACTTCTCTGCTAGGCACCAAACGCCTCTGCCAGGATGCTGAATACATGCTGAACATAAAGACTTCGAACTACTACAGGATCTGCTGGTCCATTGTTACTCCTCTGGTTATGGTGGTCATTCTGGTCTACAGTGTGCTCACCATGCGTCCTCTAAGCTACAATGGGCAGGAGTTTCCATTATCCTATAGAGGTGACTAATATTGATGTTTCATATAAAGATAGCCTTTAAAGTTCTCTACTTCTAGTTTTTGGTTGGTGCGTTTCTGGCTTTATCATCGGCCAGCTGTTCTACTGGGCTTTTTATGCCAACTGCAGGCAGCCAAAAGGATCGTTAAAGAACCGCATCAGCAATTCCATTAAGCCGCATTCCGATTGGGGTCCTTCAGATCCCAAAATGCTGATGGACTATCAAATGTTCCTGCGCCAAAAGGCTGAGGACAATTCCAGGGGTGTAAGTCGTCGCTGTGTTTGCTACACAGCTGGAGATCGAATTTTCGGTTAAGCCAGAAAGTTTTTATTTTAAATATTTATTCCCAATTGGAATTTTGTATGGCAGCTCGTTATTTTGTACTTAATATATTTTATATACATTTCTATTTGGTTATTTATATGTGGAAAATGAAATCAAACAAAAATCAATTAACTCGAAAGTTTACTCTTAAGCAATTCCAATGGCTGCCAGTTTGAAGTTTCGTTTCTGTTTTTCATTTTTGCATTGTCAGTTCTTTTTGTTTTTCGCTTTTGGCCAGACGGCAATAAATTGCTTCGACTGGCCGAAGGTAAGACAACTTTATCTGAGAAATTTTCAATATTTAAAACTAACAATTAGCAAGGCTGCCTCTGTCCCCTCTTAGCACTCTTCGCTGCATTTGTCTTCGTCTCTCAACGGACATCTCACTGCACAGACATTTATTTGAGTTTCAATTTGTGTTGCAAGTTTGACACACTTTGCATATAGTTTTGCCCTCATTGTTGCTGCCTCTGTTGGTTGCTCTTGCTGTGCTGTCCATCTGGGCATCTTCATTCGCCAGTTTTGTTTGCGGCAGTTGAAAATTAATATGTCGGTTCTCTGGACCTGCAAATGTCTTAATTAAAAGTTATTTTTGGCTATTCCTTTTTTTTTTTTTTTTTTTTTTTGACCAGTCGGCGGTTTGCTAGGCAAAGCAGAGAGACATCTAAATGCATTTTACTAAAATGCACATACAGTTGTCAAGGACAGATGTGGCAGTTGTGTGTGCGCTTGACATTCGAGCTCAACGCTGACAGGCGCATTGCGTATACGCCGCGAATGCACAGAGACAACGGCGAGGAAATTAAAAAAGTTATCCTCTAAATGGCTTACGCTCTGATTTCACAGCAAAAGGTGCAAGAAACAATATCAACAAGGTGGAAAAAAGAAAAGAGAAACTTACCAACAACACGCAACTAACAAGCATTGAAGTTTAATAAAATCCTTCTTAAAGGAGCGCCTCCTTCTGGTCGGCAAGGAGCTGCAGCTAATGAAATAACTTTGTGGCAACTTTTGCCTTGCCGGAATTTGCTTAAAGCGCAAATAAAATTGCCGAGATTGCAGCTGCTCGCAATCAAAGGCGTTCGAAATATTTAAACAGTGCAAAAGCAGGCTAAATGAACTTTTGGCTTTAAGCGGACCTGCCGCCCAAATCATTTACAATAAACGGAAATAATTTGCCGAAAACCCAGTGGGTCGGTAGTGCGGTATAGTCTGGCGGTTCGGTGGGTGAGTGAGCGAGTGGGTGGCGGGTTGGTTTGTTGGCGGTGCGGTGCAGTGATGCACGTAACCGAAAAAGAGGAAACAATTGAGGGCAATTTATTAAACGGGTGCGCGGCTTGCAGCGGACAGTTTGGTGGGGATTGGGCGATTCTGGTTTGATGCCAAGTTCGGAAAAAACCCACGCAAAAGGGTGCATAAAAGCTGGGAATATAGAGCAATCGCGAAATGCTTTAAACTTTCATTTTCACAGACTATCAACTATGAATATTTTAATAAAACTTAATGAAATGCGGTGAAATATCTGGAATAGCTGCTGGGGCAGCTTTAAATATTCCGTGCAATAAATTTTAATGAATATTTTTTACAGCAACAGGCTGTTAAGTTATTAATATAAGGATCCTGAGGTCATTCTTAAGATTTTATTTTGTTTTTCTTTTATTTTGGCCTTAAAGCAACATTAAAAGTTAGTAAAATTCAATTCTTTGCCATAAAACCGTGGATTTTTCTGCATCTACGGTCCTTTTAAGGCCACAGAACTTTGTTAAAGGCTTTGTGTTTTTTTCGAGGTGACCAAAGGAGGCGAAGTGCTGTTAACAGCGGGAGTGCGAAAGCTGCTCGTCATGCGTGCTGGCAGCGGGAATCGTTCTGTGACGTTTTCAGCGTTTTTGTTTTGCACTCTGCCAACTTCAGGGTCTCACCAAGACCTCCTTTCTCCATCCTTTGCCATCTCCATAGTCACCGTCATCGTCACTGGCATTGCAGACGGCGTCTACCTGGCTACGTGAGCCGCTTGAGTGATTCACCTGCTCGCCGACATTTGCATTTTGCATGCTGGAACGACTCCCTGGTTCTGCTTCTGATGTTAGAGGTCCGGAGGAGGTCCTGACTGCTTCTGCCTGTTAGCTGCTGGTAATGGCTGTGACAAGCATTAGGGAATTATTTTTAGAGACCTCGCATGTGGCGGCCATTAAAGGAGCTGCCGCTGACGATTTGATTTGTAGGCCACACACAGCCTCACGCTCTTATAGGCAAAAAAAAGAAAAGGCAGGTGAGTGAGTCTAGGCCCGCATCCCAGAAACTATCTAAAAACAGAGCCACTGCCAAATGGCAAATGCAAAAGGTGAAGCCAAAGCCAAAGCCGTCAGCTGCAAAAAGCTTGCCGCCGCACCACCTTTTATTGTAATCTGCATTTAAGTGGCTTTCTTTTGTGCTCCTTTCGGGTTTGGGGAATTTACCATTTTTTTTTTGTGAAACTGTTCATCTTTTTTTTCTTTTACACCTTCCAATTTGGCGCACTTTTCTTGGCGACCATTGGCAGCAATTTTTCGGCTAACTGCCGCTCGTTTGAAATGCTAATATGCAACTTTGACGCGATTGCCGAGGGCACCGTTTGCCAGGCAATTGCCAGACAATTTTATTTTCGTTACGCTTATGGGCCAGATAAGGGCCGGATGCAATTTTCCCCACCAGGGAATCCCAAGGATCTCCATTGACTTTAAACCTTAAACTCAGTTGCTTTAAGAACCAGTTTTTTCCCTCTTACTGGCACCGACTTTCAGTGCCCGTCAAACTGTAATTCTGAATTTCAGACTGCAAGCGAATTACTTTCGGCATCCGGCAAATTGATTGCCATCTGTGGGCCTTAAACCACCCGCTTTTCCTTCTCCACTCTTGCCCCATTCCGTTGCAATTTTCATACAATGAAGCCTTTGGCCCGAAAACGCCTCCATCTCCTCCGACCTTTGTATCCTTCTTTCCAACATTTTTTTTGGTTGATTTTTTTCTTATTTTTTTTTTTTGACATTTTCAGTGCATGCAAATATACGTGAACGTAAAAATTTCCATATAAACTGCAACTCGCTTCCCGGCAATTCAAGTGCAAATATGTTGGCATGCCGCACTTGAGTGTCAAGTTCCCGGCACATGAAACGCAATTGTTATGAATTGGCCGGGCTAGTTGACTCGGTCACGCCCCCCCCATTCCGCCCACACAACAAACAGAGGAGAATATATACTACCAATATGTATGTATATGTGTTTGTGGTCATGTATAAGAAGGTGTTGGTACGGAGGTGTGGCCACAGTATGCAAATGCAAATGGATAGATCAAACAGACGTCATCACAACTGAATGCTGATTGTTTGTTGGCATTCAAAAGCAAGTGCCCAAAATGTATTTTCACTGTCCCCGAAAATAAATTGAGTGCCTGCGCCTGGACAGAAATCCTAACGAAATACGAAGCCATCTCGATGAGAGTTTATTTTAAGAATGCTGTTTACGGCACAGCAAAGTGAAAAATCAACAATATTAGTGAGTGAGACACCTTGAGGAATACCAAAAAGCCTCTTCGTTTTCAAGGAAAGTTTGTTAGAGAAATGATTTGGGTAAAAAAATGGAATTTAAAATATTTATTCCTAAATTAAATGTTAAACTAATTTTAACATTTTATCAATAAGTAAAGATTTATTTCTATGTAAAAGTCAAGGATGCTGCAATCTTCTATCTGAAAATCAACAAGAGAAGCCCCTAAAATACTCTTCCAATCGATAGGCTGACTAGCTAGCTGTCTCACTGGCTAACTGCCCAATTTGTTGTTCCAATTTCCAGCTTAAGGCTGACAACAAATGGCCACTATCAATCGGTTAATACCCAGCCACATCACAGAGTCTTAGGACATTCGATCTTCCTGGGCCTGGTCCTGGCTAGCACTTGTTTACTTCGTTCTTACTTCAACCTCTTTTCTTTGCACCTTTGTGCTGTTATTGTTTGTGTCAACAGTTAGAGCCGATTCTGAGTCCTAGGTTTCAGTTCCACTTGGAGACCAAGTCTCTGGGGGCTAAGCCTGGAGCTGGAGGACAACAAGTGCAGCTGTCAGAAAGAAGTTTACTGGCCAAAACGCACTGAAATAACAAATGTGTATGAGAAGTTAGGATAAGCAAGGGAAAAGCTGGGTGGGAGAAAAGCCAGGGACAGCTGCAACAGCTGGTTCCCATTCATGTTCGTGTTCGTGTGTTCTACTGCTGGTTGGTTGTGTGATCCTGGCCACAGAAACGTTGATTGGCCAGCGCCGGAAAAAGAAGTTATAACCATCAAGGCGGAAACGGATGTGGCACAGACGTTTCCGCTTTTTCCCCACTCAACTGTACACTCTCCTCTCACACTCTCAGACACAACCATATTCGAAATTATACATTTTAGCCCTGCACATGCATGCAGTTCATACTTTTGGGCACTACCATGCCCCAAACCCTTGCTCCATCCTGTGGCAACACCGCACAATGCCTGTCAAATAAAATCATTTTGCATTGCAGAAATACAAATGGAAAAAGTATGGAGGAAAGGGAGAAATGGAGAAAAAACCCAGAGAGAAGGGAAACTCGACTGCGTTTAGCGGCAAACCGCAAGCACTTCTAATCAAAATATTAAAGAATTTCTTTATGGCTGCGTCTGCGGTTTCCCTCTGAGCTGGAAATATTTAAATTCTGCAACTTCCGAACAAGAGCTGCCTTCTAATTGAATGAGCCGTTGTCTTGGACTTTGTTGTGGCTTTCCTCCCTCCTCCCTCCACCCAACCACCTTACGCATTGGGTATTTTGGGGGGGTGTGCCATAAAAATGGCAACACGTGCTCATAAAACTAACATTACATGCCGCTAGTTGGGCATTTCCTTTGGCCCTTTCGGCGCTTCAATAAACAACTTCCTTTGATTATTTTTAGCAGGGGGAAAAAACCAGTTAGCAGCTGCTAAATGGCCCAGAAAGTTCACAGGGTTAGCCTCGCCTATTATTCTCCTTGCCAACTTATATATTTTATTATGGCGTGCATTCAACTTGCTTCGCCCCAACACTGCCTATGTGCCCCAAG